AGCTCACTAAGGAAATTAGTGAAATGGGCTCAGAACTTAGTCAATATCATCATTGTTAGACATCCAGTGCAATTTCAAAAAAGATATTGCATTTGGTTGCTAATCTCAGAAATTTTGAGAATCATCATAGCCTAAAAGTAAATAGTCACCAATGTAGACTCGTTTCATGAAAACTTTCTACACAAAATACCCAGAGCAATAGCCATCCAGTACAATATGTGCATATTGTAGGTTGCTTGCATCTTAGAAAATTGTATGGTGACTTATAAATATTCAGCAGTCACAACTTTAATTTTATTATTTAATATCAACTGAGCATCCCGGTTGTCATGCTACAGATCTATTATTGCATACAAATGAGAACACAAAAGATTTCAAAACTTTTAAGCCATTCAAATGGTAACTATGTTGTACAGTTATTTTGGATGTGTGCAGCACATTGAACAGCTCAGTATGATGTCTTCACAAAGCATATATTTAAAAAATAATCTCATAAACTACATACGTATGCACCCACATGCATACATCCATATATGCAACTAAGAAATAACATGTGAGTTACATTTAAAAAAACTTTAACAAAAGCATGGCAGAGAAAAAGATTGACTTTACATTATGCATCAGACTTATGCTTAGAAGTATGGCAGAGAAAAAACTATAACAAAAGCATGCTAGAGAAAAAGATTAACTTTAAATTATGCACCAGACTTATGTTTAGAAGTATGGCAGAGAAAAAACTGTAACAAAAGCATGCCAGAGAAAAAAATGTAACAAAAGCATGACAGAGAAAAAAGATTAACTTTACATACGTATGCTTAGAAGTACATAATAACAAAAAAGATTAACTTTACATTATGCATCAGACTTATTATAGTGTTTTGGTAAAGCATAGCAGAAAAAATGTTCACACTCTGTATGATACTTCTCATGACTCAAGGACTCTTACGGGTTTGACTTCATCTCATGGAGAAGCAAGCAATCTTGTAGAAATATAAATAACCAAAAACATCATTACGGGTTTGACTTCATCTCATGGAGAAGCAAGCAATCTTGTAGAAATATAAATAACCAAAAACATCATTGAGTTCATGAATGTTTTGTGCACGCACCTCAACCCTTAAAAGGTTCCAAGATACCAAAGCATATCAACAGTCCCAAATATCAGCAGTCTTGTAGAAATATCAATTACTGAGGTTGATACAGGGAAACCATATGGAACACAAATATTCGAACACAAACATCCAACAGTCCCAAAATATCCCAAAATATCACAAAACATCACACCTAATAAATCATAAATTTAATTCTAATCCTTTTGATTTAAAGGGCTTGTATAGAAGTAAGTTAATAGTTACATAACAGTAACCTTTCCAAATTTCTAAAAAGAGCAATGCAAGATATTATTCTCCCAAAACATACAATTAAACATTACCAGTAGCTTCAATGGCATATGTTCCTCGCACATACACTTCCTTTAAATAATTGAAGAAACATACTGCACAGATTTGCTAAATGGATGTTCACATTCTTCTTCAATTAACAAAAAATAGATAAATTATGATTCGGAAGTGGATGAAAAGAAACAGTTAATTAAACTTGTGTTATCAAATTGACCATTCACATCAATTAAACTGATGATTCGGAAGTGGATGAAAAGAAAATGCAAGAATTAAACAAACAATTAATGGTAGCCCCTTTGGGTTATCAAATTGACCTTCACATTTAAAAAAATGGAAAAAGCAGCACATTGAAGGGGGGGAAAAGCCCTAACCTCAATCTCTCCCGTCATTCACCTTCGCAGTCCCCTTTGGGTCATCGGCGGCGAAGTAGAAGACGGCGGAGTGGCAATCGCGGCCTGGGATTTGGAGATTGACGGCGAAAATGAAGGACTTCAGGGTTTGGGCTTCGGCGTGGGCCCTGCGGATTCTGTTATCGGGCCGGCCCAGGACGTTGTCCAGGCGGGATGTGGAGCGGAGCCAGTCGACGCTGGCGGGTTGGAGGAGGTGCGGACCCGGTGGGGTTTTGTGGCGGCCTGGGGAAGGGGTGGAAAGCTGCCATTATGACAGCTTTCTCCCCAAAATGCCTCTTTAATAGGTGTTTTGGGGAGAAAGCTATTATAATGGTAGCTTTTCACCCCCTCCCTGAGGCAAAATACTCAAAACAAACAGCCCCTTAGAGGAACGCTGCCAAATCTGACAAAAACTGTCAGTTTTGGCAGGCTTTCTTGCAAAAACGCCTCTAAAAGAGGCGTTTTTGCAAGAAAGCCTGCCAAAACTGACAATTTTTGTCAGATTTGGCAGGCTTTCCCCTTCCCATTTTTGCAAACAAACAGCCCCTTAGAGATGAAGGAGAATTGAAGAATGGGGGAAAGAAACGAAGAGGTGATGTTGGGAGTTGAAAGGGAATGTGACATTGAAGAAAGGGAGGAATGACGATGCAGCAGAGCTTTGGATGATGTTGGGAGTTGAAAGGGAATGTGACATTGAAGAAAGGGAGGAATGACGATGCAGCAGAGCTTTGGAAATAGAAGCGGAGCTAGGAACGAAGTGACATTGAAGAAAGGGAGGAATGACGATGCAGCAGAGCTTTGGAAATAGAAGCGGAGCTAGGAACGAAGGGGGGTAATTAATATCTTTGGCAGGTGTCGTTTTAAATGGTATATGGGTTATTTTTGTCAAGTGGCATTTTTGTCAAGTGGTGTTTTGAAAGGTAACAGTTTTTAGTAATAGTATATAGATGTTTGTTTTTTTAACGGTCCGGACTATATTTAAATAGGGATTAGATAATCCCAAAAAGGGGCTAAATGAAACACACCTCGCCACTAGTTTTATAATCCGGATATTAATCATCTAGAGAGTATTAAGATTTTTTGACAAAAGTTCCTCCATTCTTTTTCTTTTTCAAGCAATTAATTTTTTTCCATTCGTTTTTTTCGTGCCTTTCCCCTCGCTGTTGCACACAAATTTTAGGACAAAGGTTGCTCTTCCAACGCCACAATATTTTATCTTATGAGCTAAAATCGGCGTGCACACACATGCAATACCATTGAATCTTCAGTTTATCCTTATTTATTTAGCATCAGAAATTTCTAGCGCCACCGCATCCCTTTCCAAGTTCTAAACATTTGCACTCTAAGAGTATCTCCAAAAGTTTCTCCAAAATTTTCTTCAAAATGAGAAAGCAAAAGTCATATTCTTCAACTAATTTTTGCACCAACTCCAACAGCTTTCCCATTTTGAAGAATCCATTTTTTCCTCCAAAAATTTGGAGAATGTTGCAGATTTGGGGAAGCTTCCTCATTTTTTCTCCTCTATCCCTATTTTGGGGAATGAGATGGGGAATCTGTTGGGCCAAAAACCTAACTAAATTCTCCAAAAATGAGGGGAATGAGATGGGGAATCTGTTGGGCCAAAAACCTAACTAAATTCTCCAAAAATGAGAAATGGGGAAGCTGTTGGAGATGCTCTAAGCTGTTGGGCCAAAAACCTAACTAAATTCTCCAAAAATGAGAAATGGGGAAGCTGTTGGAGATGCTCTAAGTCCATCTCTTTATATATCAAATCTCCTTCATTTATTTAGCCTAAATGTCATGTGTTAAGCAAGCAAGATTTACTATGCCTAAATGAGTGAAACTTGAGCAACATCGACCTTTGAATTAATTTGATCTCTCTATCAAATAGACGTATTAATACAATATTAGTTTATTTGAGGGTAAAAATGTCATTCTGGTTATAATATTAGTTGGAACATTCATAATTCTCCCTAATTATTTTAAGTCAGTCCGAGTGTTAGTCGGTGTAAAAGCAAACATTAACTTGTACCAAAATAAGAAATAACTTCAGGACAACATAATGTTAGGACTATATTCCGGTGATCATACTACCCCTTAATTAGTGGGTAAAAAATAAACA